GTTTGTCCTGTAACATAGTTCATTCCGTCTAACTCTACTCAGCGACTGAGTTCTTTACCGCGATCCTTCTGACTGATCCGAATCAGCGAGGCTCGATAGGGAACCCAGGCCAAACACTCCGTGTGCGCGCCAACGTAATTATTCGGCTTTTGTTATAACAGGCTACCTATTTCTGGGAGTAGCTAGAGGGCAGAACCCTTTATAGTCGTCGGCCACGGACTCCTAGATTTGAGTAGAGTTCAAGTAGTAGGAAGTTTGGCAGATTTACTTAATTTGAGTTGACCCAATTGTGAAAAAAACTTGAGGAGTTCGGCGGGATTGGAACCCGCGTAGTAGAGAAGGCCTTTACCGGAAGCCAACACTCTAACCGCTAAGCTACGAACGCCCCACCTCGCGCCATGAATTCAATCACACTTGGATCAATATTACCCGCCAAACTTTACCGCTCATATGGAGAGTTCAAGTAATCACATAACAGCAAGTCGGCGAGGCCAACGGAGAGTGAGTGATCATGGAAGGGGGGAGGTATGAAAATGCATATAGGCCACAGAGACAGACAGGGATGAACAGGCACGAGAGTCGCCTGGAAGAGCAGATATTATTCCAGTTCTAGGATGACGCAAGTCCACATGAGAGTGGATGGAGTTGGAGCGTTGCGGTGGTTCAAAGGGGAACATGAGACCGCTTGCCACCTGGCGATGTGTGAAATTTCGGATAGAGGGTAGCGAAACCAGTGCGCATGGGTAGGTAGGCAGGCAGACGAACGCACGTTTAAATAATCAGCGTACAGGGCCGAGCTGGAGATTCCTATGCCGGGAGTGCCGCCAACCCAAACCCGGTAGGAGCAAAACCCGCGAAATGCTGCTCGTGTGTGCAAAAGGAAGGGTGAAAGCAAGGAGACGTTAGTGATCAACCTCCGTGGGATCGAAATGTCTATTCTCACAGTCTAACGCAATTAACGAAATTGGGATGATCAGCATAGAACATCTAGAACGTTGGGCAGTGCGCTCGTTGCGCGAAAAAAACATACTTTTCGCGCGGAATACGTGCACACATTAGTTAATCAACGGGAGGAAGTCAACACTCCCTTTAGTCAGGCATTATTGTGCGCAGTGGTCTGCTAAAAGAGATTAATTTGAACGCGAAAATATAAAAAGAAACTATCATTATCGAGTTGCATTTGAATTTTTCAGTCAGTATTGATCAAGAGGGGGGAGGATATGTGAACACGCATGCCAATTTCAAAAAAAGAAATATTTTCCGTTTTGAAAAATAACATTAGTGCGACCTAGAATTTGATAATGTCGCAGCCTACAGACAAGCTTTTTTAAGTATATCCATAAATTCCAGACACAGACAAACCAGTGCAATGGTAGAGTGGTAAAGTCAATGACCAAAGGTCCCGGGTGCGAA